AATGTGTTTATTGGAGACCCCAGAGGATGTTTAGCCAGGATGATGATGTCAATCAGTATATTGGAAGTATTTTATGTTGGAGGCGCTGTAGACACTTATTTTCTGAGCCTGTTCTACAATTGTCCTGTTTTCATTTAATATCAGTAATTTATTAATATAGTGTTGGGAAGGGAAGTAAGATTTAAAAATGTCAGTATAATGGTGAATTAGATTTTGAAATTTTGGAATTTATTGGTTCATAAAGAAGTTTGCATGGGGAATTGTCAAAAAATATTGTTTTATTGTGATGGAATGAATATGCTAGACCTAATCTAAATTTAATTTAAAATCCTGGGTTGATGATAATGTGCTTACCTATGAACTGGCTTTTTAATCATACTGTAAAAATTGATCATCATATTAATCAATGTGGTCAAAAACTGAGTTGTGTTCATATTCATATTCACAGACACAGACAACACACAAACACACATTAATTTTCAAAGATGTACAACAATGTGATACGTGTTATTAGGGCACTATTAAGAAATGACTGAACAGCAACAAAAACAATGAGATGTCTTGAGCTGTTTTATTTAGTTTACAACTTAAAATAATACTTACATAAATAAAAACATACAAAAATGTTCTTTGATTTTTGTTAAGCTGCAGTCCAAATCTTTAGCCATGATCCTGCCAAACCTGCATTTCATCTTCCTGCTGTCAATCAGCCCCTGCTCTGCCCTTTCCATTTCCAATATGATATCAGATCCGATACAGCTTTTCTGTTATGGGCTCTGCCTAGGTCTAATATTTCAGAGCAAGAGTATTCTGAATGTTCTCTGAAGCAAATGACCGAATACAATGGAAAATATAAAAAATTGGTTTTATATTGTATAGTTTTCTACCATTTTAGTGCAGCTTGTGTTGGAGAACTTTTTGGTAGGTTTGTCCCTTAATGCAAGAGTGGGTAAATTCAGGCTCCTGAGATACAAGAGGCCTTCCAGCACCCCACTTCTGTCCCTGGCACCCCAGATAATAAGACTGACATTAGGTAGCAAAATGGCCAATTTTCAGCAATACATTTTTCATTTATTTGTGATGTATTTAACTTATAAATACATAAGTATTTATATAAATACATAATATTTATGTAACATACCAGACTCTAGGTGGTATGCAAAGTAAAATAACAATACAGTACACATAATAATAATAATACAGCATGATGCAGAATAAATCCATAACACAATAACAATAGCAGTATCTTCACATTAGGCATAGAACTTGTTCTGGTTGTTTAATCTTCAAAGGGCCTCCAGAAGAGCCAGGACTTAATCAGTCTTCAGAAAATCATGAGAAAGGGTCCATTCTTGCCTCACTGCTTTGGAACAGTTACCCTAAGGAGGAGAGATGCCACTGAGAATGCCATCCTTCAAGCCCCCTCCAGTAATACCTCCTAACAGAAGAGGGAGACTTCAGTAGTAGAAAGCATAATAGAACATTGGATATGGAGAATCCACACTGAATTCCACGTGTGGCAATAAATCTCTCTGGATTGCCTCAGAGAACTCACTGTCAGCTTCATCCCACCTTGAGAATTTTTGTGTGTCTATCTGTGCATGTGTGTTCAACAATGATCAAAATGTGCAAGTTTCTTCATAAACTGGATGGAAAGAATTTTTGCTAAAATGTGTCTGGGAGAAAACATCTATGTCTTTCCGTTCATAGGAATTTAAGTACTACTACTTAACACCTTTCACAAAATCTCTGTATATTCAGTCATATTTACAGCACTTTTGGGGGATTTTCACTTCTGCTTTCTGATAGGCTTTTTTATCTTTAATAGCTGTATCCATTAGTTAATGTATATGAGGTGAAAATTTTATGTGGTTTATTTTTAACAAGACCTAGAGAGTTAAAGTGGTTTTTTTAAAAAAATTGAATGTGGAAGAAAGCAAAACCTACGATCATTTTTCTGATTTCCACAGATGAATATCAGGATTCTGATAAATTCTCTGAAAAAGTTGAAGGCAAGAACTCTACTACTAGTACTTCTCTTTGCATTTATTGAATTTATTTATTTACATTACATTACATTACATTATATGCCTCCCAACGACTCTGGGCAGTTCACAGGTAAAGATATAATGAGTAATAATTTGTGTTACTGTATTCAAGAGGCCAACAGTTACAGGTTTTGATATCTTCTTTGAAACACATGTTTAGAAAGTGGTCCCTAAATGGAACAAATCACACCCATTTAAACAAACTGGTCACACTGAATAGTCACATAATGAATATTTGGATAAAATGGTTCTTTCTGAAATCCTTCCATTCTTAAGGCATTTGTATGAAACCAAGGTTTCTGGTATCATAAAACTGTATGGCTCAGCTGCTGCTAGTTACACCTCTCCTTTAATTTTTTCTGGACCCTCTCTGTCAAAATTCAAGTGCTGCTTAAACCAAAAGTAATATTTTAATCCCCATTCCCAGTCTTCACATGCATGTACATCCAAACCATTTCTTGATGCAACGGGTGATTTGAAGTGTCAAAGAATATTAACCAACTGACTTAATCGAACAATAAAAGGATGCAGAAAGGCAGGAGGGGATTTAACAAGATGAATAAATGGTCTCTTCTCTCTCTTTTTCCTATACTTCCTACCTTCCCCCCAGAGAATATGAGTGACTGCTCTAATTATACTGCATGATTATATCACCTGCATTTTTTGTTTCGCCTCTAGGATTGTTAGAGCTGATTTGTCTCCCTAAATGGAGGGATAACATACACTTTAATCATGCTGGAACTGTAGGACTAAACTCTCTGGAAGGTGAATTATGGAATGGAGGAAGAAGAGAGTACATTCTAGACTTTACAAATAGCAGGCCGAAATCTTCTAAGATAGTTGTCCCTTTTGTTTCTTCACCAGAGTATTTTGTCCCCTGAACTCATATTATTTCAGTAAAGGATGGTTTTCTTGCATTTTGTTTCAAGAGCTCAACTTTAGAGATGGGACACTTTTCCCATTTCTGAAAGTGAAATGTCAGAATGATTCAGGAGTGGGATGAAACAATTTCTCCTTTCTGTTTTGTTTTTTTTTGTTGTTGTTGTTGTTTTTTTGGTTCTGTTTTCTCCTAAATGTTTATTTTCTCTCTCTTTTAAGACACAGGTTGTGAGATGTTTGGTCCTCTGGTAGCAGCAGCAGAGCTAAGTGCCTCTGGGAAGAAATAATAGTGGAAGCAGCCATAGCTCAGCTGCCACTACTATGTCTCTAAAAATATTTTGAAAGTTACTTAGGAACTTGTTTAAAGCAGGGAAGATTTACAGTGAAAGGAAATGGCAGAAATGTAATTCCAAGAGTAATTTTTGAGATTAAAGCTGTGCATTGGAGTGGATGTATTTGCTCACCTCTAATCTTAAGAAGACCTTCCTTGTTTCATGAACTGTAATTCCACCAAGTTCCGTTTGTTAGTTTAAAGGGCCAAGGAGAAGAGAAAAAAAGACTGGCATTATTGAAGATTTTTTTTTACCTTTTCTCTTTGCACGATTTTCTCCATTTAAGTAAATCTGCAAAGGAAATAATATGTATGTCCTTATATGTTGCCTCCTTTCATGTGAAACTTCCTTTGCATTAAGACCTTTATCTGGATGCCCATCATAAAAGCAAAGACAAGGGACAGGCCCTTTTAATAGTGGTTCCTCATATTAAGGATTCATTCCCCCAAGGCTGCTGATCTCACAAAAGTTCATTAGCTTTTGGCCCCAAGTAGCCCTTTTATTACATTTCAGTATTTCTCTGCTGACCTTGCTTGAATTTATTATTTATTTTTCTTACGGTAGTCTTTGTTTTGGGGGGAGGAATGTTGAACGTTTTGACTTATTTCAAGTAAAATAAATTATCCATCAGGGAACTGGTGTGGGAGGATTGATTCAACACCTGTCCTTAATATGATTTCCATCTTCTGTGCTTTCACTGCTGCTTCAGAAGCTAACAAAAACCATGAGAACTATCCATTCATGGATTTAACAATACCTTAATTTGTTTGGCCCTGATAGCTTGACATTTGGTTTGGGGCAGCAATTTATAGGACCTGCCATACCAATACCACCACAATACAATATCTAGGAGGCAGACTAGCTGTATCACTGAAAGATGGGAAATGCAGGATTTCTTGACAATCTGTAATATTTTTGTGTGATTGCAAAGAATTTGTGGGGTTAAGAGGGCAGAGCTTGCTTTCATCAACCCCATCACCTTGTCTAAATATAGATCCAACCCAATAGACTTTATGATCTTCCAGACAGGCTAGGAAGATAATATTTGTACGTCTAATGTCTTTGCCAAGCTTTCAAGGGCAGTAAATTGGAATCTGTGGCATGACACTTCGTTTTCTTAAATATTAGAGGTATAGTAAGCTTTTCATTCTCAGGAGAGAAATATTACTGGTTTGTGTAGAACACATGCATTTACAAAGCTTGTTTCGCTTTCTGACATAAATTATTCTGAATGTTGGCATATCCCCTAAGGAAGAATGACCAGCTCAAAAGTCTTTTGAATGAATTTATCATGTTCAGCAACATTTTATGAAGTGCTCTTTGACTGAAGTAGATTAATGGCAAGTACTACTCACTTAGCATCCATTTTCCATTTTATGATCAATCTCAGTGCAAGTGGCTAAACACAAGCCACCAACAATATTTTCCCTATTTTCTAACTCTCACAACCCTGCCATTGATTGATTAAGAAGCAGTCATTTTGTATGGCTTGGAACAGAGAGGTGTTGTTATCATTTTATGTTTATACAGACAGAATATGAGACAATCTAGTAAAGACAAAGATCTCCATCCTTCTTGTTGTTATGATACCGCTTCTAATTTGAATTTCCATGGAAATGGGTTTCTTTCCAGTTTAAACCGTTTCTCATGACAAGTTCCATATTCCACCCAATATTTCCAGAACTGTATTAAGGAAATAGTTGTTTATAACTTACTTTTCTTGTTTCAATCTTTAAAACAGATAGTACAACAGAGGCACCAGCAATATCAACAACTCCAGCTGTTGAAATTCGGAAGAGCAGTGTAACAATGACTGAAATCACCTCGAAAGTCGAAAAATTCCCCTCCACGGCCACCAGCAGTAGTGTGAGCTCCTTGGGAGAGACAGAAGAAGAAAAGGCCAAACGGTTGCTTTATTGTTCACTATGCAAGGTTGCTGTCAACTCTGCCTCCCAGTTGGAGGCACACAACAGTGGTAAGAGGGAGCCCTTTCTTTTCTGAGTCAAGAGCCCTGCAATTATCTTCTCTTGAATAGATTAGATGGCTTGCATCAGGGAAAGCCAGCAATTCCATGAATTCATTATTGATTAAAGAACAAAAATGACAAGAAATCATTTATAAAAGACAAAAGGAGACCTTTTGATCCATGGAAGTGATCAGATCCCTTCCTCAAATATCAGTTTTCAAGATTGCTGAAACATTTGACTGCATTAATTGAATACTGTTTTAGATGAAAGGAAAGCAGAAACTAGTATGGGCGGGTGCATAATATTAAGCAGAATTTGAAAGAGACAGTTAACTCGAAGTTTGCATTGCCCATATTGGAAAAAACCAATGAAAAGATTAATGGGCTAAATATAAACATACATACATTGATAGATACATACATATATATTAATCAAAATATTTCTTTTCCATTATTCAGCACTGATGCCTTTCATCATATGACATACAGTATCTTAGACTAAATGATTTCACAGCCAGTTAGAACATACTTTTTAAGGAGATATTATGAGCACTCTAACTAGATGTATGTCATAATGCAGAATATATATTCTAAAACATAACTGAAAACCTTTAAAGAAAAAAAATCCATAGTATCCAAACCATAGTTTTCCTTCTTTATTGAATTTCTCTTGGACTTGAGTTCTTCCAATTATTTTATTTAGTAATGTTAGGCTACAATCTAACCCAGCTGTTTCAGTAAAACCAATACAGTGTTCAAGCTATGATCCACTGTTTTTGTAAAGTATTAGAAAAATAAAACAAACATAATAAAAATGTCAGTAATCCAATTTAGCCTTTAATCCCAACATTCATTTTACTCATTCAGATATTTAAGTTAATAATAAAATATAGTTAACTAATACAAGTATTTCATATATATATGAAATATTCATATATATTTGACTTTATTTTATGTGGTCAACCATTCTCCATTATCAGCAAGGAATATTTTGTTACATGTATGTTCAAATTTAGACTGAATTTACTATAGCATCAAAATTTCATTTATCAATCTTGTTATTCTTATTTTCTATTTTCTTCATAGTTTTCTGATGTCTGTAGGCCCAGAAGTATTCAAAAGTAATCCTTCTTGAACTTCCCTTGTACTGTATATTCCATATATGCATTTATTTTATTTGTTAGATTTATATCCTGCCTTTTCTCCCAGAGCTCAAGCTGGTATATACTGTATAGCATTCCCTCCTCTGATTTTCGCCTCAACAGCACCTTATTGGAGGTTAGGTTGGAATGAGAGAGACAGATTGGCCCCAGGTCATCCAGTGAGCTTCCCAGCTGAGGTGAACCTGGACCCGAGTCTCCTCAGTCCTAGTTTAATTGGTATATCTGGACTACATCAGCATCACCTGCATTCGATTCTTAAGTCATTGTGTCAAACTCCTAGATTATCCTTCAGTTTTTTAAAACTGCAAGAAAATTTGCATTTGATTTTGTATTCAGCTTTCAATGATATATCTGTAGTACGCATCTTAAACACAACTTTCCCAAGCCCACGTTTTGGTACTCTTCCCAAGGGTATGAATTTTTCAGGGCAGGTTTTGAAGTAGAAGCTGTTTCAAGATACATGCTGCATATTAATTGCTGTATATACAGGACCAGCTTGTGTTGCCACAGGTTTAATTTCAGCAAATGGTACCATTCCATTTCAGAAGAAATTCTTGATGGATTTCTCTCATACCCCTAATTAATAATATATCAGTGGAGATACTAGACACCACAAAATTAGTCTAAATCAGTCCAAATCATATGAAATATTTTGTTTTAAAATTAGAGTTCATTTTTCATGAACACAAAACAGGTACTTTTGGATACAATGGTGAATTATAAATTAAAACAATAACAGCATCATGTTATTTAGAAAGCTTCTTCATAGACTCTTGTCTCATTTATGTAAATAATTGTTCATATAAATTAGTATTAACACTAATATTAAAGTTGTTGTTTTGCAGACAGTGGGCATGTCAATGTTGCTTTCAATTATTGCTATCTTACATAGTATTTTTAAAAAATGTATCTGATGTCATCTATTTATATGGCTTTTTTGCATTTTTAGAACCAGTTTTAGATTACATTGCATTATTTTTCCTCCTTTAAGAGGAGATATACTGTCTTGTGTGTTTCTTTATCATGGTTTATTGCAAAGAATGAATAATATCTCATATATATATATAGATCACTGTTGTCATTTCAGTGGCTTGTTCATACTTATCTGCAGTCTCTGAAAATAGTTTTACTTTCAATCTGATTGATTAAATAAACTGAAAAAGAGACCTGTTTGGGATTTAGAGCTGGCAGATCTGAGAAATTCCTGGTGGCAGCAATCTTTGCAACCTAAGAGTATGAATGTTGCTTTGGAATTCATAAGGATTCTGTGTATTTGCTGCCTAGCTTTTATAAAATGTTTGAAATAATAATTTGTGTTTTACATTGTCATGAGAAATACTAACTTTGCATCCCCCTCTTTAAAAATGAAAAATATAAAGTTACCTGGGCTCCCAGGAACTCTCCTGCACTGGGGAAACAGTGACATGGAATAGAATAGACTTTTATTACATAGACTTTTATTAAAGTTTTTAGAAGCAATATTTTTCCCTGTGAAAACTTCTAGAAACAAACCATATATTCTTTTAAAAAGGGTGACTGTGTTGCCACTTGGATTCCATTCATCTCAATGGACTGTGCACTGTCTAAAGGGTTCTTTGAGATAGCGCCAATTACTTCACTAGCAGCAGGTTTTCAAAATTACTGTTAATAAACCAATTAGAATATGTGGAAATGATTCAAACCAATGTCTGAATGATTTTATCTTTTTGTGGGAGGACATGTTTAATTAGCTGCAGCTGGTGATCAAAATAATCCTCCACTTAACTTCACTGAGGTTTCGCTCCCACATCACTACATACTGATGGCAGCTTCTTCAGCATAAAAGTTGAGAAATGAATAACTTGGGGCCCATTAGCCATATGTGACATGGATCTTGGACACACTAGGAAGCATGTCACCAGTGTATGGAAATAAACCACCAAATTATGGAACCATGATTTCCTAGTTTTTTACATAAAGTCAAAATCACTTAGGCAGCCTTAATAGCTAGATATAAGGATATGCAATATTAATATGATTTAGCTTTTATCAAGTCAATATGGAATATACAGATGGGTGCCTTTAAAATTACCTGGGATAGAACCTAGAACAGCCTTCCCAACCTGGACATTCTTTGATTATGAGGACTTTGTAACATTCTAAGTTATGGCCATATTGCTAAGGGATTCTGGAAATTAAAGTCCACATACATTGGGGAAGGTTGATCTAGAGGAGGATGAAGGATTTATTCAAACATCTTTCTAAGAAGATTACTCTTTTGTATATTTAACATCTTCAGGCACAAAGCACAAAACTATGCTAGAAGCCCGTAATGGGAGTGGAACCATCAAAGCCTTTCCTAGGGCAGGTGTCAAAGGAAAAGGACCCATCAATAAAGGAAACACAGGACTTCAGAACAAAACATTTCACTGTGAAATTTGTGATGTGCATGTGAACTCTGAGACACAACTTAAACAGGTACTAAACTTTGGCAATAAGTTCCAGAAGTTCAAGGTTCTTAAGTATGGATCAGTAAAGCTGCCAATCTTTAGGAGTTTGTGGGACCACTGATGGCCTTATGATCAGGCTGCATCATTTGTCAAGGCACCATTTGTGAGAACCGGTGCTTTCCCGTTTTGCTGTAATTGCTGCAACAGTGCTGTGGTTCCAGAAGGTTCTTTCATTGTCACAGAAGCCACAGTATTTCCAGCTATAGAGATGAGACGTAACACATCTATTTGAATGCAGCCAGACTATGGGTCCAACAATGTCTCCATATGCTCCTGAGATAATTAGGTTTAAAACATTATGCTGTGTGAATCAATCATCTGATTCTTTGATTTCTTTTTCAACATGGTAGGGTTGTGCAAACTATAGAGATGGACACTTCACAATCAAAACCTGCTGCTTGGATTAGCAAAGTATCATATCTCTGAAAAGTTTATCAAGAATATTTCAAATCCCTTTCCAGCCTTCTGAACATTCATATCCATGCACAGAAGGCACATTTGCTGGATTACTTCCAAAGCCACAAAGCATCTTTCTGAACAGTTTGCAAAGCCATACCATATGGTTCATGATGATTTTGTTGTTGATGATGCTTTTGTTTTGCTGAATTATATTTTCTTTAAGCTGTCATATGTTGACAACTATTTCAATTTAAATTATTTGAGAATGACATAATGTACCCTTGTGTTCTGTATTTCACTTGCTCTGTGTCTTTTGCAGAAAAATGGATGATGTTTTGATGAATATGAATTGTTTTATAAACAGATTCTTCTCTGGACTTGAGAAGTATCAAATTGGGCCCAGTAAGCTAAACTCTTCTCCCTCAAAATTAGAAATCCTATTGACCTTATGAGGTTATTTTTATAAACAATCTCATATCTGTAATCACATTGTATATATAATCTGAGAAGGCATTATCTTAAGGAAGGCTGACTTAGGCATTGGGAATGGTATTCAGGATATTTATCTAGTTCAAAATGTGTATGCCACCCTTCAAAATAAGTTTTCTCAAGGCATCTTACCACACAATTTAAAACATGTTTATGCAGTAACCTACTACATGCAGGCACTGCCAGTGTATCAAGTCATGGCACTCACATGCCCCAGACCATGGAGATAGTAGCTAAAAGGGGCAAGAGAACAGGATACTAATCCAATGTTTGTTTATATGTCTCAGCTTTCTAAGCATGAAATGCTGCTGGCATAGATTCCAGTTTGTGGATTTGTTGTTATAAAATGGCAGGAAGTTTCTCTATAGAATGAGGTGCTACAGATAAATTGTTTGTCATATGGATGCAGGTGCCACAGAGAGCAGTTTAAGGCAACTGCTATTTATTCACATGGATAAAACCCAGTAGTTAAGAGATCAAGGCAGTACATAGCCCAGTCCTGAGTATTACGTAAGTGTTTCTGATGGGAACCATAAATCGCCTAACCTAAGGGAAACAGGGCTCTTGAGTAACAGCTGATCAAAAAGAGGGAATTTTAGTGGTATATTTGTTCTGCAGGAAGAGAAATCTGTATCTGCTAAAAGAATGTACTTTTCATCAAAGTTATTATTATAAGATCCTGCCCATCATTACATAGGCCCACCTTTAAAATATGCCCTTTTTATTACCGTTCTGTCCTTTATTAATGATGATTGTAACATTTCAGGATTTATTCCTCGAACAACAGTTTACAAAATAAGAAAGGTAGGATTAAGTCATACCATTTAATAAATTCCACAACAATCCCAAAAAGGTACAGGTTGCCCTTGCTTAGCAACAGCCTCGTTCATCAACTGGTCAAAGTTATGATGGTGCTGAAAAAAAACCTTTATGACCAATGTCCACATACTGTATATGACCTTCTCAGCATCTCTCAGTCGTGTGATTTGCCATTACACTCAGTATGTGTTCTCCTGTGCCTGACCTGTTTTTCTTTTTCTCCCCCTTGCAGAGCAGAGAGATTGGAGAGGAAGGGATTACAAGAGAGTAAGCAGGCACAAAGTGGGGAATACACCCAGCTGTTTGCATAGCACACTCACAGCTGCCCATGCCAGTGTATTGCTTTAGATGTGTATTCTCCATTGTGTGCCTGCTTACTCTCTTGTAATCCCTTCTTCTCCAATGAATGTAAATACAAATTAATTTATTAATTCCCTTCTTGCTAATTATCCCAGTGCATTGGGATGGGCATTCCAAATGGTGGGGAGCAGAAAAAAGGGAAGCTGAAGTAAAATAATTAGGAGGCAAACAAAAAACCAAGGTGTGAAACTGATTAGTCTTGTCAGTTACAGGCAGCCGAGCTGGCTGTCCCAGCGCTGGAATGAGCATTCCAAAGGGCGGGCGAGTGAGGAAAAGGAAAGCACAGTCACAGTCACATGATTTCCTACTTAGTGACTGCTTCACTTAAAAACAGCTGCCAGTCCCTATTGTGGCCATTAAGTGAGGAGTACCTGTATTAGACTAAAATCTAGTGAGATTATTTACCAGTGCCCTCAACCTGAGTTCCCAGATAGTTTTCCATTTAAGATGTTTACAGAACTAGACCTTGTTATATAGCACATATCCCATGTTTTCATAATTTCAGATAAACCAGAAAAATAGATTTATTATTGTGAACATGTGTGGTGTTAAAATGGGACAAACTAATTTTTTTAGGGTAGCCAAAAGTATTATGTTGAAGTCAGTAGTGAAAGCTTGTTATTTGTAGAATAGTAGTAATAAAGAATGCTTGCTTTCAAACAGCACATAAGCAGTAGAAGGCACAAAGACAGAGCTGCTGGGAAGCCCCCGAAACCCAAATACAGTCCCTACAACAAACTCCAAAAGGGAACACACCCACTTGGGGTAAGCAAATGATTTTTCTGAGTTAGCTTTTTGATAAATTGTTGGACATATACTGTAATTTGAAGAACAATTCTGCTGTGTGCTATGGAGATAGACTCCATTTTTCCAGGGTCACTGGCAACCCAGAGTAACCTTATATTTCCTTGATTGAAAATAAGCCACTTGTCATAAGCTAGCCCATTCCTGTTCCTCCTCAAGTTAAGCATTTCTTCTTATGAAAGAGGAAACCAACCAGAAAAAAGAGGGAGGGAGCAATGGAATAATGCTGTGTTTCAAGTTTCAGATAAATATCCAACTTGACTGTTGAGCTTTTCCAAGCATTCAGTTAGAATACTCTAAAAATCCAATTAATTTGGGCAAGGGGTGCACAACGCTCATCCATCCCTGATACGGAGAATGCAAAGGAAAAAGAGAGCTAGATTGATTCAGCAGCCAGAATATGGTATTTGGGTAAGAAAGCACCATTCAGGTAGGAGGCTACTGGTGTAATCACACACATGTTCTACTCAGAAGTAAGCTCCACTGAACAATAGAGTTTACTCCCAGGTAAGTGAGGGTAAAACTGCAGTATAAGTTGTGATTCCTTTGGTATGCTATTGCCTTTCCACTGCATATTCCTTTTTATGACATTGAAATTCCATTTGTAGTTCTTTAGAAGGTTATCATAAAATCTAATAAATAAGAAATAAACAGTATAATGACACATAACAACGAGGAGGGGTACGCAACTATTTTTCAGCAGAAGGCCAACTTCACTGCCTACTAAAAAATAGTCAGAGGTGAAACAAATTGGGTGAAGTCAGGACAAAATCTCTATTTTATTTAATTAAAATGAAAACTAAATTAATAAAGGACTAGGGCATGTAAACTCTGTGTTTTGCAGAGTGGGAGTGATACACTCCATCTTGATGCTTCACTTGAGACCAATCTGTCTTGCAAAGCAGGCAAGGCCCATCTCCATCCACCAGGAACTGTCTTCACTTTCTACAAGTGAAGCCGAGTAGGCCCAGCTTGGAATCAAAGGCCAGTTCACTTCATGGTTTTGTTTCAAAGGAGTGCATTGTTTAAGACTTCATTGAAACAATCTCTTCTGAAATCCCACATGCCCCTAATGTAATTCTCATTCCATACTTTTTTTTTTCCCCCTTCAGTGACATAAAAAGTTCTGTTTGGATACAATGTCTGGGGGCATGATGGATGCTTGCATTATGCACCTTTGACATAAGAGACAGTGGCTTATTCACAAGAAGGCTGATGGTAGGGACACAAAGAGATATACAGTACTGTGCAAAAGTTTTAGGCAGGTGTGAAAAAATGCTGTAAAGTAAGAA